GAAAAAGTAAACATTCTTAGAACCTCCTCCGATGGTATCGTATTTCATGAAAACGTTATTCGGCGGCTTTCGAAAGGCTGGACGACTTCATCGTCTCAAATGGATTGTCCGTGAACTAATAGAATTAGGCCGTCGATGGCAGCTCGTTATTCGCTTTTTCTTCGTCTTCGAATATTAGCCAACGTCTTGTTCCCCGAAATGAGCAGTTTTACTGAGTTCGTTAGCCATTGACGTCAAAATGTCTTCGAAAAGTACTTCAATTATGGGCAACAACGAAATTCTAAAAAGTTTAATTGCGAAAACTCCTTCCAACTCCGCCTGGCAGCCCAGTGGAAAATCAGATTCAAAGAAAGGATATTTTCCGAGGCTTTAATGCCTTCCGCTTCCGACCAGGTTTTTTAGGGAAGAAATAAGAATTTCAGAGCACATGTGTTGCAAGTTGACGGCGCCAAATCTTTGGAGAGCAGGTCCGGTAGCAACTCGTTGGTTTGAGGGCTGTGCATAACTGTGCAGAACCGCTTTTGATGAGCTCTAAACTCGCCCGAAAATTGCCTGGACTTCAGATTCGCCCATCTGCAAAAGCACTGGGCATTTAGTTTTCCCCGTCCCATTGTACTTTATCTGTGGGCCAACATCTGCTCCTTGCTTTGTATTCCTTTCAGACCTTTTTGGAATGGAAGGGATTTCAATGAAGAACAAAGATAGATAGGTATAGTAATTGTATGCATCCGCTTCATTCCGCAGCTTTCCGTCATTTGTCGTGTTTTTCCCATTTAATTTCCACCGGTTACTCAAAATTCTGCGCATTTTTGCCAGTGACATTGAAGACTTCCTGTAAAACCGAATCCTTCAAAGGTCAATCAGACTTCTCGTCAGCTTCATTCTTTTCTTATTTATTTTTAAAGCAGTGAACGAGGTAGGGCCTTGGTACAAGCACCTTCAAATGAGTTGCTATTAAGATAAGCTTACTTACCTTCCTCTTCTGATGGACTAGATAGGAAAGAAACCTTTCGACTTTTCTTCCTAGATTGGACTCTTCAAGGAAGAGATTCTTATATACTATTAAAGAATAGGGTGGCATCTGAGTATTCTCGACCCACCAAAAATGAAAAAGGGAGAATCTTTTTTTCGGAGAACTAGTTCATTTCCTGGCACGATAGGCCTGGCAGAAGGGTTTTCCCTTCTCTAACATAACTATTATCTCAATTGCCGCATCCCAAGGTGTTGCACCAAATAAAGAAGTGTACTGGGAATAATAACTACTTGGACTTTTCCACATGTTTCTCAGTATGTTGTAATTTACCTCCACTCGCCACTTTACCAGAGCCAGATTCCTCCCATATAGGTTCTGTGTTGGCTTCCTACCCTACACTTCACCATCCATGACGAAGTCTCCTGGAAGTTCCTTTTCAAACTTACCCAGGTGATGACATCCAAGGCTTTCTGTTTTGGCATACGCTCAAGAAAAAACCTATTAAATGTTTTTGAAGTACAAAAGTATACTTAGAAGTGTGAAACTCAGGAATGCTTTAGATAAAGTAATTGGGCTATAGCTTACCCATAGGTATAGTAATGTACACGTAGCAATTCTTTCTATGTATGGGCAGAGTCCCCTTGAGCTATGTACTTTCGTGCCAATTTTTTGCCATCAATGAGTTCGTCCTTTCTATATTACTTACTTCTCCTTTTTCGAGACAACATAGGACGAATTGTTGCCATCTGCCCATTTATGGCCACTACATACTTTGGCTGCAACGACCATCACCACCACTGCCGTCAACGTTCCGCCCACTGATGAAGAGCAATGGGTTGAGACGGCATGGGCCAATATAAGCTTACATGCGTACACCCATTGATGTGCTCGTTTTTGCTGCTTCTCTCTGGTGTCCCATACTCGTTGGCTCCCTTTGGTGCCCTCATAATCATTGATGAACTGGGTCAGAATCACCCAGTGTTTTCCATTCAATTTATTTCCATTTTGGTCTGCAAAATTCGCGGAATTGTTTCTTTTCATCCCGTTTTCTGCAACTCTTCTACTCTCTCCTGAGGCTCTCCGCATCTTGAAGCTCCTGGATTGTAATTTCACCTGCTGTGCACTCAGTGGGGAAGCTTTTAGATTTTCTGCCACATTTACGACCACTTCCAAAGTCTGCTTTCCTATGAGTTCCAGCTCTTTTTTCCTAAACCATCTGGAACAGCTATTCTACGAAGCTTTCCTGAAGCTTGTCAATTTCGTAGTCGATTACATTTTCCTCTTGATGGACAGCATGAGAAAAAGCTCGCAGCGATTTCTTTTCGAGCCGTTTTTGTCGAAGCTAGCCACGATGAGAAGAAAGGCAGAAACTAGTTGCTTTTGAGCTGCGCCATGCATTTTTATGAGTAATAAGCTTCTGGTATGGTTGTTGGAGACGTCATACTAATGAATAGGACCAGTAAGGGCCAATAGGGGAGGGAACGATCGAAAGTTCAGTCCGCTTGGATAGGAATCGATCATGGTGCACCATTTGACAGATAGAGGGATCTTTTGCCATTTCTACATGTGTTCCGTCATGTATTTTTAAAAGCGTCTTGACCTGACCTTTGGTTTTGGTCTCACTGTAGTCGATTCTTCGGGAAATCCCAGAAGACAAGCGGCGTTGCTCCTCTCACAGCAATCCTCCTTAGAACCTCGTACATTTTACGACACCCCAGGGCACCTCAGCCGAAGTCGGCTTCGAGCTGAACACACCCACAACCTATTTATCATCGTGGGGTGAAATTTTCGGAGCAGTTGATCGCAGGGTGTCTTCGTTGCTCAATTATTTTTATGTACAGTAGACGGGCTCGAAAAGATGAGGCCCCTTCGTAACTTCCCAAATGACTTCTCCTATACCTCAACATTTACTGAAAACGGCTGGGGACCGATTTGTACTTTCCTCTCCCAATTCCAATGTGGTGTTTTAAAAAGTGGCCCTGACACATTACTTACCAGAGTAAGCAAGTAATTCGTCTAAACATCGTCCTGAAAAGCAATACCACTGTTTTTTGGAATTTGCAGGAAATCGAAAGCGGGCCCCTGTCCGAACGAATCCGATTTGGAACTGAACTACCTTTTTCTGTTGTTGTGCTATGTTGCCTTCACTTTGTAATTGAGCTCCAAACAAGTTCAATACAATTGCAGTGAGGGTCCCTTTTTTAAATGGAATCCGCTCCTTCATTACTCCCAAGAATCGTCGCATCGTCAGAAAAGTTGGGTGATGGAGGAGACAGAGTGGAGAAACGGGAAGACGATTGAGTTTGTGTGTAAACCTCCACTTCTACGAGGGCTGCAACGAAGATGCTCCTTGATCAACTGCTCTGAAAGTTCATCTGACGTCTTATACTTATCCCTCGAATGAAATCTCTTGTAGGGGTGCATAGAGCATCGAACTTTACCTTTGAGCTCCCATATCAACTTCCTTTTATCACTCAACCCTGACATTTCAGCCCAGGTGAAATGGATGGCATCCAGTACATCACATTCAGTCTGCGGGGACCATATCCGGAATCAATACTACACCCAAGCTTCCGCAGAAGAAGAAATCGGACACGTATTCAGAGTAGCATACCCATTTCTGGCCTTTCAAAAATGCTGCAGCCGCTATTTCTTTGCCCTATTGGTCCACCTAAAGTAGCTGAAGCTGAAGTACGTTGCGACCGCTAGCAGCCAGTTGATGTACTGTTTCATCTCGTTAAAAAGTGGGAGTGCTGACATACCCTATACCCTCGTCGCTTGACCCTGCACCCTTTTACGCAGTAAGCCTTCCCTCTCTGAAGCACTGTAGAGGCCAAAAAATTAAGTAAAACATCACTACGATGGGCGGATGTAGTGTAGTGTCTAGTGCCGCATCATCTCACACTCATGGACACGGGTTCAAATCCCGGTCGATGTGTGCCCAGGCCGACCGAACTTTTCAATCCTCCCCGGGGTCGGTTAATGGGCACCAGACTCGTCTGGGAGGATGAAAGCACTGACCTGTATATAGGCTGGCCACCGCAAGTCACTGTATAGGCCACATACCCATTCAATACGCCACCACGATTCTGAATGGAAGCCGAATGCGGGGCGCTTCCCTCAGATGGGAGTTATTAACGCCCCAGGACTTTATCCTTCAAACTGCTCAAGTTAACGAGTGATTTTTGGCTCAACCNATGGGTGTTATTCTGAGTTCCTGGAACTAATCCGAAGTTTTGGTTTTGCTCAGCAAGTGGCATTGATAAGGTGAATAAGCCATTCATTCTGCATTTCTTTCAAGTATTAATCTCAAACAGAGGAGCATTTAAGTGATCTTTCCGACGTCAACGGGGACCAAACGGCTGCTCCGCCTTCCATCAACGTATTTATGTCTTTGTGTTGACCGGAAAATAACGACTAGCAGTCTCAATGAGCCGTCGACTGAGCAGCCTGAGACAATGGCCTCGGAACCTTTTAGTGGTCTCATTAGAAGCCCTGACGTCAATGCTGCTTCATTTCCTTCACTTTCTTCTTGCTTTTCTTCCTTTTGGAAGTTCTCAGCCATCTCACTTGGCAGATCTTTCGATACTGATCAGCTATTTTAATTGTGATGAGCTCTTAGAGGCCAGCCACATTTCTGCAAGCAGTATTTTTAATTACTCAAGTAAAAAAAAACTAAATATTGTTGTATCTTTACCATACTCCACATCCGACCTCCAAAATTTTCCAAAAGTTCCTGTTTTGGAAACCTGTGTGGTCCTGAAGATGTTCCTCGTCAATTGCAGGTTAATGGAAGCGCTAATAATTCCCGCTTCTTTCGAAATGCGCCAAGCATTTGTCTTCCATTCGGAATCATAGTGTCGTATTGAATGTGTATGTTGCCTATCCAATGACTTGCGGTTTCCACTCGATGTAGAAAAAAAGGGTTTTTATTCGCTCAGAAGAGTCTGCTGCTTATAAATCGACCTCGAAGGGAAAGTAAGCTTGGCCAACCTGGTAGTATCGATCTCGGCTTCAATCGCCGTACCACATGTGTGTGTGGTAGTGCACCTTTTACCAGTACACCACCCCTCTCATTTTCATCAATTTTCTAACGCTAACTTGGTAATGTTGCTGCTCATCCACATCCCTATCGATCAACGTCGACTTCCGTCTTCTTAAAATTTCCAGAAAGTTGTCTACTGCTCATTGTGAAGTCTTTTCATCCTTATCAGTGAAAAATAGAGTTACTTTACGGTAGATGGAACCGAGGGAACTTCTAAGCAACTACGTCTAGTAGTGGATATCATACCAGGACTCGTTCGTCAATAAATCGTCCTTTCAATGAATGACGAATAGCCGACTGGGATCGTCTCAGCAGTTTGCGTTCATATTAGTAATTCTGATCACCGCTGAGTAGTTTATAGCATACCTAACAAACAACTACATTTCCACTCTCCAGGAAGCTTCTATCCGCTACGTTTCTGTTGAGTGAGCGCGACCGAATTTTAGGCTGTCTAAGGCTTCATAAAGGATATAGGATCAAGTTTTTGGCGTCAATATCAATCCCGTCTGAATGATGCGCCTCGCACTCGACTTCCATTCAGAATTGGGGGTGTCAGGTTGTTACACCCTATCTCGACAGGTGGAGAGCGGCTCAATTTTTTTTGGTCGGCTTCTAACTCGAAAGTTTTGACTATATGAACCTTTCCATGTAGCTAAGAAGAGCTTGTCCTCAGAATTATTTTAATTCGTTCCTAAACTGAACTATTTTCAACCACCCTTTTCTTATCCTTTGCTTTTCGAATTTCTAAAATTGTTATCGAACATTCTTCATCACTTAGGCCATCATTCCTTTATCTTTCTCATTGCTCTCTGGCTGACACTCAAAGTCATAGCTTTTCGGAAACCTCCCAATCCTCTTTCCACTCCCACATTAGCATATTAAGCCATAAGGACGTGTATGTAGTTATTATTATAAACAAAAAGTGCATTTGACTTTATTGGAGGCGACTTCCATGAAAGAATAACGGCACGGGCGAATTAATCCTTTCAGACAACTGGGTCAGAAACGGTGACGACCCACACTTTCTTGGAAAAATAGGGCTATCGACTTGCTTTTTCTTTGAATCATGCAATTAGTCGAACGTGCTGACTGCCCATCATGAGTTTATTCCTGGTCGTATGCATGGCGCATCTCGAGAGTTCTGATTGTTACTGGCCTCTTCGGCAGTTTTTTTCACAACATGAATTGCAGACTCTCCAAAATCGATATAGACATAGTTTTATATTTTTGGGAAGATTACAACAAACAGTTAGTATTTACTATCTAACGCTCAGAATGCGCCATGCCTTCAACTTCCCAGGGTAAAAGAACTTTTTTTCCGAATCAAAGCTCGAATCAGAAACTTAGTGAAGGGGTTCAAATTAAAATAAAGGTACATTTATTTAATTTTTCCGGGTTATTGTTAAAACGATATACAATGGTAGGTTCGGAATAACACCAGAGTTACAATGATATAAAGTATTATTTCCTATAAAATGAAAGAATTTTAATAGTAAAATTATTATTTCTTTTCATAGAAGTACACTACAATTTAGTGATTAACTATAAAAAGCTTAGGCCTTTTTGATTGCTCTCTTGAATGACTTCCTTGTTTTACAATGGCTGATAAAAAAAGAGAAATAAATAAAGTCTAGGAATTATTAATAATAGCTAGTCGTAAAAAGTAATTAGTGACCTGGCGCTGTAAGTCTATCAGCCTTAGTGGGACTACATATAAACTGGCTAAAAGGCGGGTTTATAGTCCCTGAGGGTTTTTAGGCCCACTGGCATCATGCTCGTTAATCTAACCGAAGTCTACGATTCGACGATTACAGGGTTGTCTTTTTACGTCATTTCACTTCTAGTGAGAGTAAATGGACCGAATCTTAGCCGAACGAATGAAGCCCACTCGCCGTACCGCCA